CAAACTACAGAATTAAATATCCTGGTGTTATTTGTAGAAGATTAGCTGTATCATTGAGAGAAAAGCCTTCAACTGGATGTTGAAATGCTATAATCATGATTGCAATTAAGGATGCTTGGAAAAGGAAGAGCTCTTCTCCAGTACAACAGGGTCCATCAGACCTCAAATATGCTGAAATACCCTCTTTTCAACATGACGCCGAGTGGTTTCTTTGACAGTACCCAGTGAGACAAGGTAATATCCCACTTTGCAGGTTGGAAAGCTGAAGCATAGTGAGCCAAAATGGTGTCCCCATGGTGCCAGAGAGGGTATGTAGCAAAACATGAGAAGGAATTTAAGATCCTTTTCTCTGAGGTCTCTGAGATCTGATGCATTAATGTTCAGAAATGTATGAACTTTCTCACCGTTGAGAGCAGTGAATGTGAATGTTGAGATGTGAGCTATGAAATGTTAGGCAGTTTGACCCAGAAAGTGGAATTGTTTCTATCAATGACAATCTGCAGATTCCCACCAGTGCTGTGCTTCCAGCTGACCTAACAATTGTTCCATACATGCTTAAGTTGACATCAGGTTGCCACCACCTTGACTACTGTACCTGGAATATTATGATTCAGACCTACAATGGCTGATAGTCTTTGTTCAGAAATGTAAATTTAGAAGATGATCCACCTTTTCTGTTGACATTCATATGGTTAATAGTAAGCACTTAGAAGAAGTACACTCAGTGACCAGAGAGCCAAACTGTGTCGGAAGTTGTATTGTCTGTCCTAGAGAGGTAACCTATAACTGAACCATTATCTGTTCACTGTAGACAACAGTACAAAATATATTTTGCAGATGTCATTTTCTGCAACTGGTAACACTCTTCTAATCTTGTCATGACCTTCTGCAGCTTCTCCACTTCAGTAGCATAATCAGGAAAAAATCAGCTCTACCACCTAAGTTACGCTTGTAGTGAAAGCCTCCAGCTGCAGTCAACAGGACATGTGTATGCATACACACGTGATTAATAGCTACGTATTCACAGAATGATGATAAGTTTCCAGGAAGCAGTTTCACTCAAACACAGGTGCAAGGTTTTTTATTGTAACTGTATGAGAGTATTGTTCAGTTGAGAGCAGTCCATCCTAGACTTCTAGAATACACAGAATCACAGTGGTTGGAAGGGACCTCTGGAGATCATCTAATCCACCCTCCCTGCTAAAGCAGATTCGCCTACAGCAGGTTGCACAGGATCTCATCCAGGCATGTTTTGAATATCTCCAGGGAAGGAGACTGCACAACCTCCCCGGGCAGCCTGTTCCAGTGCTCTGTCACCCTCAATGTAAAGATTTTCCTCTTGTTCAAGCAGACCTTCCTGTGCTCCAGTTTGTGCCCATTACCCCTTATCCTGTCACTGGGCACCACTGAAAAAAACCTGGCCCCATACTGCCATTTTGGAGGAAGCATTTCCAGATATTTGGAAGTATACAATCTTAGACAAGAATTTAGTATTTGTTAAATGTTGATACATTGCTGTTACTTTTTTAGGTAAGTCTATTTCTTTTTTTTCCCCCCAACTTCTGCCAAGCAGCCTATATCTCTGCATTTCTCCTTTTTCAAGCACAAATAGTAAGCTCAAAGTGTACTGTCTCCTTATCAAAAGGGGGTTTTAATACAGTTTACCGAATACCTAATGTTTTATCAACATATAACATACGTTCTGTTACCTTGGCTCAGTCCCACAATGTATGGAATAATCTCGCTTTCTGCTAAAGAAAATGAGACATGAGAACACTAAACGTGGGGGGTCCAGCCACAGAGAGACAGACTCAGCTGTCTGCCAAATACTGGTGGTTTCTCTACACTTGAGAAGCTATCACTGTCTCTGCTTCTCGGCTTCTCTGTTATGTATATGACTGGGCAATAAAAAGGAGATGAAAAGCTGATCTCCTAATGTTCAGTCTAAGTCCCAAATGCTCTGCTGTACCAGAATGCAGGTCTATTTTTCAGGACTAATTTGTGCTGATGCTAGCTGGTACAATCATTATGCAATTGTGCAGGCATTGGGAATAGCCAGAATACACTATACTCTTGTTATATACTTTTCCAGACCATGATGGAAGCTTCTTGCCATCTGGAATTGTCTTTGTGCTGGAGTAGTACAAAAGGCACCCTGATATGCACCTGAATTCTGTACCCAGCACCCTGGCATTTGCTATTTAGAGTTTTCTTCTATCACAGCTTTGAGAAATTCTCCTTTTCCACCTGACAATAAAAACCTGACGATAGATAAATACCATACAGCTGAGGATTTTTTATCACCATCTATCATAATTAGAGGGAAGTCAAGTCATCATTGTGCCTGCACTGGTAAATTCTTAACGGCAGTTTTTCAAAGTCATCCATATTCATTGTGTGGATTGCTTTATATAGATAGTGGCATTCTTTGTAGAAGTGTGAGGATGTTAGGTCTCATTTCTTTACTTAATTCCAGCTTGGGCAGTTACATTTTGCCTGCTTGATTTCTCCACTGTGATGTCAGGTGAATACTTGCTTCCATCTTTATATACCATGATGTTTCGTTCTCTTTAAAGCACTGATGTGTTTCACGTCAGATGTGTCTACTTTTTGGTCATGTGGGATGAAATGTGGCTTGCAAACATAAACAATAATTAGTCTTATTTATAAACTAAGTGAACAATTCTACAAAAGTATTAAAAGGGAAGCTGGTTAATATGCTTAGGGAATGTTAGATGTTCAGGTACTCTCTTCTGACCACCAAATGTATTAATCCTGTGAGGAAGGAGCTGATGAACTGTTTTCGCAGAGGCAGATTTTGGGCTTATTTTTTAATGAGTCACAGCTGAAGGAGCCCTGAGATAGAGTTCTGGATTGGCCCATTGACTGTGGACTGTTGCCAGACAAGGACTTTAGTGACTGTCCTTTGAAAGAAAAATGGATAATGGACTTCCATCCACAAAGAACTGATTATATTAATGTTACTCTCCTGCCTTGTCTTACTGAAGGTCTGACATTCCTTTCCTGAGTTGTTATGAATCTTGAGTCAGATCTCCTCCACTGAAGTGTGTCTCAGTGTCCATGTATGGAAGAATATTTCTTCTGTGATCACAACAAATGCTTAGGTTGCAAAGGAGAGAGCACTTTCCTGGAAGGAGAGGACAACATACAATAAAATTTTCAAAAGCATGGAAAACAAAGGAACCTAGGCTGCTTTATACCTTTAGGTACTTTCAAGTCTGCAATTTAAGTTCATAAATCATTTTAGTGTTCCTGAAAATGTTAACCACCATCTGTTTCTTTAATGATGCTATGTCTGGCTCAGGAGATAAGTGTTTATGAAAAGTAAAGAAGAAGGGACTCTGATATTTTTGATACCATCGTGAAAGTGAGATTCTATTATGGTATCCAGCAGCTTTCCAAATCTTTGAACTTTGAAGGAGAATTCAAGATAAAATAGCTTTTATGTACTAGATGCTTTCAGAATATATACAATATCTTCTTATGTGCTAGAGTTGCTCTACACATAATACAGGTTCTGGTGTTAAAACAATAGTCTGCCTGCTTCATTTACAGATGCTTGTGGTGGTGTGAAAGCCAGACCTATGTTCATGCCATTCAGTTTACAGTCTCAAATTCTCTGAGTATTCAGTTGTGTAGGAATCACATATGGAAGGAGAGACTCACCCTTCAAGGAAAGAAAGGAAGTTTGTGAGAAAGCTTTAGAAAACACTTGACCAGATCAGAACATGGTGGGCCTTCCTCAAAAGCACACAGCTGCTGGCCTCACTGTGGTAAACTGTGAAGATTACCAGAGCATTGCCAGGGAAAGATCAGTATTTGCCCACACTTACCACATGCTTATCTCTGAGATACGTGTACTTGTGCTACATGTGGGAAGTAAATGTGATCCGACAACAGTCTGTGGCAATACTTAGCAAAAACTAGCAGTATTTTCACTGGCAGCCAAGAGTCATACGTACGTGCAGTGGTTAAAAGTTTAGAAGTCATTGGATGGACACTTGTGGCACTGTAAGTGAACTCCAGAAAGTGGCAGTGCACAACTTTGAGCATTCAAAGTGCCAGTACAGCACATGCTTATATCTCACCTGTATTAATCACTGCCTGTAAGGAAATGGCTAGGGAAAAAAAGCAATCAAAGGAGAGGTCACATCAGAAAGAACATACAGAAACACTCTCTAAGATTATGTGTAAACCAACCACAGGCTCTGTTAACAAACCTTTCCATCTGTTCCTTTGCCTAAACATTTCTGCTTTCCCTCTCTGTCTTCTAACTTTCCTTCGTCTTTCCAGATGCAGGACGCTATGGGCTATGAGTTACCATGGGTGTATTTTGTCAGTCTGGTCATCTTTGGATCCTTTTTCGTTCTAAATCTGGTTCTTGGTGTGTTGAGCGGGTAAGCTGACAGTTTTGGTGTCCTTTTTCCAATGCTACAGGGCAAGACTCCATAATAAGGGTTCTTCCCTGTCACCAGGATTCTTTCAGAGGGATTAAAAATCTGAATCCAAGGAAGCTTCACATCAGCTCTCAAAAATTTTGACAAAATGTTCAAACGTTGCAAATAACAGTACAGGTAACAAAAGAGGTGTTATTCTCTGACAATGAAATTCAACCTCAGGGCATTCAAAATCACTAATGTCAACCTGTCATAAATTTCCAGAAAACTGGCAATTGAAATTCTTACTGCTGGTGACTTGGGATCTCTTTGGCTGGAGCCTTGCAGTGCTCAGAATCTGAGCTTGTCTCACTAATTATCATTCCACTCTTCCAGGTCAATGATGCCATAGGAAGGGACTGGCCCTGGATCTATTTTGTTACACTAATCATCATAGGGTCATTTTTTGTACTTAACTTGGTTCTCGGTGTACTTAGCGGGTAAGCAGTACCAGGAAAATGTTTTATTATTGTTTATTTTTTAAAATTTGTATTTCTATTCCTACTCTGGTTACCAGAACAACGGGCAGTGGCAGGGTGATCTCAGGAACCTTGATAGAAGGC